AAGGCTATCTGGCTTTACATTCTAATGTAAAATAGAGATAATAACATCTTCCTCAAAGAATTATTATGGGGTTGAAATGACTTAGCATACACAGTGTTCCCAGCTTTTTAATATCCTCACTAAAAACGGGTTCTTCCCTTCCGTCATTCCTCCAGCTACTTTTTTACAAATGTTTTGGTAATTTCCTTGGTACGGGTGTTGGTGACTTACCTGTGAGGATCATCACAGTTCCACTTTAAAAAACTGGTATAAGGCTACAAATCAGTGTTCTGGGCCCTACAGGGAGCCAGTGCCCATCTATGTATCTCTTGGTATGACTATAAGAGCACTAGGAAGCCAATAAGACCATACTATGACATCCTTCATTGCACTGTTTTTCCTTTTCAGAAAAGGAACTACAGTTACAGAAATGAACACGCAGGAACATATTCCCTAGGGACATTTTATTTTTTTGGTACCACCTTTCTGTACAATTGCATAAATCTCCAATGCAAAACCATGAGTAATCCATGACAACATAATTTAAGGTTTTTGTTGTTGTTGTTTTTTCTTCAAAAACAGCCTTGGCACTCCCAGCTTTTTGAATTGGCTGAAAGCAGCCACTTTCCCCCCTTCCTTCCTTTCTTTATTTTCCTTTTTTTAAAAAAAATGTTGTTTGTTGGATACAGTGAGTGGGAAGAAATGTGTATTCCTTTAAAGGTTAAAACATAGTTTAACTACACTAAAGGTTTCACAAGTTTCACAGTGTAACCCAGGCCTTGGCAAATACACTGCCTATCCTCTGGGAGCTGAGGTATTTAGTGTTTGCCTTAGATTAACTCCCAGCAAAGGCCAAACAATGTAGTGAAGAGAGGAACAGATATTTCTGTTGCTAACAGGAGACCCCCTAACTACTTCTCCTTTTTTTAAAACTGATACTTCTTAAAAAAATTTAAATTGTAAAATGTTATTCCAGAGTGTTAGTACAGAGTGCTTACAGTTATATAGGTCAGGTGAAGAGTACATTTCTTTTTTGGATAATGCCACCCTTTCCCTTGCTCTCTCCCAGTTTTTCCCTCCTGTCCCTACCCACAAGTTGTATAATTCATTTTCCACTTAATATTTGGTGTCACGTTGGTGACATTTTACTTCTAAACTTAAGAACTACCCTTGCACTTGTAATTAGCGCACAGTTCAGTTTCTTGTTAGTGGTGGTGACCGTGCTTTCTTCGCCAAACACCAGGACAAACACATTTAATAAGGGAGAAAATACTTTCAGCGACAAGCGGCTCTATTAAATTGCAATGGCTTATAGAAATGCCAGAGGCTGCAGAAGAAGAAGGAGGAGGAGGAGAAGGGGGGGTAAGGAGGGGGGGAGAAGGGGGAGGAGGAGGGGGAGGAGGAGGAGGAGGGAAAGAAAAGAAAGAAAGAAAGAAAAGAAGAAAAGAAAAGGTATTTGTGTGTGTAGTGGTGGTGGGGAGGTGATAGTTAAAACGGAGCTATGATCTCATCTGATTTTCATAAAGGAAGTTGTCAACATTTTAAAACCTTGACTGGGGCCAAACAAGAGGTGAGGGAAAGGAAGCTAGGAGTCTGAGCATCTTGCCATCCAGCCTTCCAGCCCAACTGTCCACATCGAGGGCAGCCGGGGAAGCTGACACAGGATGGGCCGCGCGTTCCAAGCGACATTACCCAGGGCATGCGCCTGCACTCCAGAGTGGAAGGCTGCGCGTTTGCGTGTCCCTGGCAACGGGATGTTTCCGCCTTCTGGAAGCTTACACTCCTGCTCTGGTTGTGAGATCCCGGACCTGGTGGGAGGGACCCAGCTGCGAGGGTGGGGTGGGGGGGAAATAGGGGGATGAAGGGAACGAAGAGGTGGGGAGCCAAGTAGGCCTTTGGGAACACTTGCCCTAGAGATTAAGCTAAACTAAGAAAACTTGGTTCAAGGCTCGGCAAAAAGGATCTGATCTTTCCGGTCCCTTCACCCACGCGGGGAACATGCCTCTGGAGGTGGTGGTGGAGCTGCAGATCCGAGCGGTAAGAGACAGATCGCCCTTCTTGACTCCAAATCCGTTTCTTAAAACGGTCTGCGTGGTTTTCCCCACCGCCCCTTCACGTTATTATCTGTTGGAAGAGATTCCTTTGTCCCTAAGATTGTACACATTTGTCTTAGTCCTTTAATTCAGCCGAGACTGCTTCTTCCAAAGTGAGCTTTGTGTGTATGAGCTTCTTTTAAAGCAACTTCTCACAGGTCCAACTGGGATTTGTCCTTTCTTTTTCAAGATGAAGATTTATGGAAAGATGTTTAAACTTTTAAATAACCAAAGAATAACTGAAATTTTAAAAAAGGCCCCTTACTTTGTGGAAATTTACCACTTGTGGTAACCACTCAAATATTTTCTAAAGTATTTTCTCCTAGTGATTGCTTTGGCTTGCTGACTCCCAAAAGAAAATCAATCAGCAACTAAATAATTATCTACCAACCCTATCTTAAAAGAGGGGTTGGGGGCAGAGTGACTTCATTGTACCAATTTAGGGGCGAGTCATCCCATCATTTCCCAACCCTAACCTCATAGTGACAGACTGGCCACTCTTTGCTGGACAAGAGGCCATCACAAGCACAATGCAAACAGGGTACAACTGAGGAAAATCAGCTAGGCCTTCATATAATTGGCAGAGCTGAGGTTTCATCACCCACTCAGCTACAAAAGTTCACATTTCCTGGTTTGGTCTCAGTTTCTTAACAGCAAATAAAGCCAGGCTCAAAATTGCAACCTCTCAAAATTGTGCAGGAAGAAAGAACCCTTGAGAAACGGAGGGATATCTCCCCCATCACCGCGAATATTAAGTGTTCATCTCACTTCATTCAACGTTACTGATTAATTTTATTTTCAATTGTTTAGGCATTCTTCTTTGTACAATTAACAACAAAACCAGTTTACAGTACTTAGGATGCTTCAGAAAGTCAGGTGGATTGATCTTTGATCTTTGCTTTAAAAGCTAACAAATTCAAGTCCCCAAAATGAAAGCAAGGAATTCCAGAAGTATGACTACAAACCAGAAGGCCCCAACAGTCAATCTTGTGAACATTACAAGAGTAAATAACCATTGCTTTCAAATATCTGGCTAGAATAATGGATTTCTAAAATGTTAAACAGCAAACACAAACCACTTAGATCTTCACAGTATGACTGACTCAGCAAGTGAGGAGGTAGTCCAAAGGGTGTTGTGGGAATGCAAATGACTGTTTTTTATTTGGAAGAGATGTTCTTCCCGCATTAGAACCTACAGCATTCATAACAGCCATTCTCCAAGTTCTTATCCATACCACCCTTTGTCAGATTCAAGTCCATAATCCTTTCTGTAGACACCAATTTCATAGGTAATTTAAAGGTTTTCTTTTCAGGTAGAGCAGCACTTAAAGCCCAAACCCTCTTTGGTCTTTTTAGGTCAAATAATAATCAGAATCCAACCATGCACTTGGGTGGTTTTTGGTGTTTGATTTGGGGAGGCAAAGCTTTAAACGTAGAATAAATGTAAACGGAAACTAGGAGTTTCCCCTTATGAACTTCAAGTTAAATACTTTTACCTAAGTTTTCCTTATTCAAGAACACAGTTCCATAGAAAATAACAATATATAGGGGTCATCCTTGTGGTACACATGAAAAAGGTATGTACTTGCATTGAAAAGAATGAGTTAATGTCCTGTTTTGTTACCAGATGGAATATTATTTTCTATTCAGTAGAGATGCTGGGCCACAGAGCTCTAGTATGCAGATTCTCAGTTCCTCTGACTTTCTTATCTCTGCCCTCTCTGGTGACATGCTATTGGTTGTCAACAGAATTATACATGAAGCCATCATTGCATAGTTATCTGTGAGCACCTTAGACTTGTATTTCATCTTAAGTTCTTGGTTTGTTCTCTGGCTGCTAGAAGACACTATTAGATATTAGTAGGAAATATAAAGACCTTTTCAGGGGAGAAAGTATTGAAATATTTTCTTTTCCTCTGCCCAATCCACAAAGATGGAAGAGATAGAAAGTAAAAATGCTTACCAAGGAAACCAAGATTAAGAAGCAGTCTCTCCAATTGATAGTGGTAACAGAGCTGCAGGGAATAAAGTAGGAAAAAAAAAACACACCAAAAAAAAAAAAGTCTCCAACTTTGAAAACACTGTTTAAAATCTACCCCAGGAAAACGGACAGTAGCTTATCTGGATGTATATTTGTGGAATGAAGATTATGTTTTCTCATTTACAAGTGATATGCTGATTTGTGGGATTATTACATCAATCTGTCAATTGAAAAAAAAAGAAAAGCAAAAAGTACAGCAACCATATAAACCACCCCCCTCCAGCTCGGTTCTTTGCAGTCGTCCTAGAGATATAAACAGTTGTTGATCAAACATACATACAAGAGGGGATTTTTTCCCCCCTCTCTATATGGCTGTGTTGAGTAATGGCCAGCACGTGCTTCGGCCTAGCAACAACAGATCAAGAAGGCCGGACGCCTGAGATCCCAAAGGGGGATAAAAAAAAACCTAGAAGTCTCTACGGGAGGCAAGCAGGATGGCCACTGGTTTAGGATGGCATCATCAACACACACGGGAACTCTCCCGACCTCCTGGTCCCAGCCGTCAGATGAAGATGGTGTCATGGTTGATTCCACAGTACAAAGAGAACCGGCACATTATGGGGTGAGAGCCAGCAATAGTCCACGATACTGTATTGCATGTAACCCAGGAAAAAGCCAAAAGCCACATCCGTGACATTGTGCCGACCAAGCATGACCCTGGAGAGACCCAGGATGAAGGCCCACAGGACCACCAGCACCCGCAGGGGGATGGCCAGGACCAGGTGGTTGAGGATAAACCGCGCCACCAGGGCGGCCCTGGTGGTGTGGCCCGACGGGAAGGAATACTTGTCCACCGACAGGGTGAAAAACATGTCCATCTGGTTGTGGGCCGGCCGTCGCCTGCGGACCAGCCCTTTGATGAGGGCCACCAGCAGCAGGTCCAAGAGCAGGGCGAAGAGCAGGTTCATCAGCACCTCGCGCCCGGCCCAGCTGTCGCTCCGGGACAGGCAGTAGAGGGTGCCCAGCAGCCAGGGGATGCCGTGCCCCGAGATCTCCAGCAGCTTCATCAGGGGCCGCACGCTGCCCCACGCCGAGCTCTCCCCGGCGCACACCCCCAGCCTCTTGGACAGCCACAGGTCGATGGCCAGTAGGGAGCGCAGGGCGATGCCCAGGAAGGACGGGTTCAAGTCCATGAGGTCCTCCTCGGGCAGCGGGGCCGGGGGCGCCGGCGCGGAGCCCGCGGCGGGCAGCGGGAAGGAGCCGCGCCGGTGCACCGGGCTCTCGGACGCGCGGAGCCGGGCGCAGGTAGGGTCGGCGGCCGGCGCGCGGCTGCTCAGCAGGGACTGGAACTCGAACCTGGCGGCACAACCTCCGTGCGCCGGGCTGCCGGGGCCGCCGGGGCCGCCGGCGCCGCCTCCGCCTCCACCGCCTCCACCGCTGCCGCCGCCGGCGACCGAGGCGCCCAGCGACCGTCCTTCCACGCTCCTCCGGGGGCTCGGCATGGCGGCGGGGGGCGCGGACCCCAATACCCGGCCAGAGCAGACGGAGGCTCCCCGGCCGGGCGGCTTCTTCCGCTTCCGCACTGCCATCCCGGAGGGGCGGGGAGACGAGCCCCGGAGCGCGATTGTGACACCTGGCGGAGACTCGGGAGGCAATCGGAATTTCCGATACCTGGGAGGTCTGGGCGGGAGGGAGGTCGGGGGGGGGGGTTGCAGGTGCTGAGGGGGTGCAGGTGTGTGTCTGCAATGGCACAGGGGTGGGGGGCGAGGGAGGTGCATGGGAAGTTAGGAGAAGTAAAGCCCGGCTTGACAAAAGCAACCATGCTTGCTTCTCTTGATCATTTCTTATTTTTAGTTGTTAATCTATTATGTATTCATTACTATTTTTTTTTCTTTTTAAAGATTTCTTGCCCTGGAGTGTTTCTGCAGGACAAGCAGGATGTGTACCTCGGCATCTACCTCTTGAATCAATACCGGGAGACCGACTGCTTTCCGTCTGTGTTCCCCATCGTGATGCAGCAAGGCATGACATTTGAAAAGGTGATCTTAGAACACAAGAGAGCGAGCAAGAGACACGGTTTTGCTGTCTGGAGAGACAGCTAGTAGTTCTGACAAACAACAAGGTTCTGACCATTGATCTTGTAAACTATCTTTAAGGCTCACTTCAGTTTACAGCGCAGAAGCACCGGAGGCCGTGAAGTAAAACCACAGTGGAAAGACTTTTTTTTCTTTTGCTTTGCAGGTCTGAGCCAAGTTCTGTCAATCTAGTTAGTGCTAAATACCCTGGTCGATGATTTCCTATTTTTGGAACTCTCCTGGCATTTTATAACTGGAGCAGAGAGCATGTTAGAGACACTTGTATTGCATTTATGAAAGGGATTATTAATAAACTGCTGACCTTTGGAAAAGAAAAAGAAAAGCTTTCTTAGACCTACCAAAAAAAAAAAAACAATGAAAAGTATAACCAAGTGAGTTCAGTCTTGTAATTGGAAGCCTGTCTAAAAACATGAGTTCTTTCAGATTTACTGACTTAAGTCATATTTGTCCTAGGTAGCCACAGTAATAAAGGCTCAGTTCCCTGCTGGAGACAAAACACTATCCACTGACTTCACACTTCAACATTTAACCTAATGCATTATTATACAACTGTCCACAATCTCCTAAGTCTTTTTTTTTTTTAACGTCTACTATTTGGGTTTGAATGCTGAGCCTCTCATTTGCTAGGAAGGTGCGGTACCACTTGAGCCACATTTCAAGTCCTTTCTTGGTTTCATTATATTTCGGATAGGGCCTCTCTCTCTCTTTTTTTTTTTTTTTTACCTCCTCCATTCTGGCTTCAGACATCAATACCTCTTCCTGCCTACTAAATAACTGGGATTATAGACATGCACCCACATGCTTGGCTTCCCATAAGCTTTGTAAAGTTCTGGATTTGAGATGATATCAGTTTTGTCCTTTGTTTGTCGTGTGTGTGTGTGTGCGCGCGCGCGCCAGTGAAGGGGCTTGAGCTCAGAGACTGAATGCTGTCCTGTATTGCTCAAGGCTGATGCTCTACCACTTGAATCACACCTTCACTTCTGGCTTTTTGGTGGTCAATTGCATACAAGAGTCTTACTAGACTTTCCTGCCCAGCTGACCTCAAACTGAGATCCTCAGATCTCAGTCTTCTGAGTAGTTACGACTACAGATATGAGCTACTGGCACCCAATGTCTGTTTAGTTTTTAGTTTAGTTTTTTTTTGTTTTTATTTTTAGCACAACCAATTGCATTAGAAGAGAAGTCATTAAGTGAACATTGAATGAGTATGTGTAATATACAGAATGTCTTCTGGTACTCAAGACTGAGGTTGATGCGAGATGTGGTTTTAGCAACAGAACTAGGTCACGTTGATGAGATTTTAAGCGCGTGGTAGATTTAGCTGACTTAGATTTTCTTACCCTTGTTATGCTGTGTTAATTTTTATTCATTTGTTCTGTATGCTTATGTTGAACTTTTAACCACAAACTTGTTAAAAGTACTTCTGTTGAGTCTTAAAATAATATATAGCTGGATTTTATATGTTGTTAATTATTTAAGTCTGTCATTTCTAAAAGCGTCTTTATTAAAACTTTGAAATTTTATCTTTTTCCATTTTTTTCTCTGCAGGTATTTGAAAATGCAATAGATCCTGGAGCTGTAGCAGAACTTTTAGAAAGTATGTATTTTTTTTTTTAAAGACCAGGGTGTATAATTTATCCGTGTAATATTCTTTCCTAAACTGTGATATTTGCAGGTTTGATCTGTGTTTAAAGTTAAGAGAATTCCGTTGTAAAGTTCAAGTCATAACTTTTGAATGTGTTATCAACTTTTTCCAAATTTAGATGTGATTGCTGAATGGTATGATTCTGATTTGTTATTTATAAAGCATTGTTTCTAAATATTTGCAGAATTCTGCAAGTATTGCAACAAGTAATTTAATCAATTGAAACATTTTCATTACCACAGAAGGAGGGTCTCTGTTCCTTACTAACCCTTAGAATGAATTGATCTCACAGATCTTTCTGTCTCTGTAGATTTTTTTTTTTTTTTGTGGAAGTCTCACTTTGTAGTCAGGGCTGGCTTTGAACTCACTATCTAAGCTAGCCTATCTCAGCCTCTTACATGTTGGGATTCTAGACATATGCCACCATGCCAAGTTTAGGTTTACTTTTCCTCAATATTTCACATAAATGATATGTGGTCCTTTGTGATTAGTTTCTTTCACCATTTCTTTTTATAATCAAAGAATATTCCATTGTATGAATACACTTCCCACTTTGTTTTTCTACTCATCAGTTGATTTTTTTAGGCTCTATGATAAATAATGATGCTCTGAATATTTGTGTACAAATTTTATATACATATGACGTGTTTTTATTTCTGTTGTATACATATACACGTGCACATACTTGCACACACATGCTTATACACATACACAATTACAATTATCTGTTTACAGATAATCTGTTTACAGATTATTGCATAATCTGTTTAACCTTGTAAGAAACTTCCACACTGTTGACTAAAGCAGCTAAATTATTTTATACTGCATCAGCAATATGAAGGGTTATTTTTTATTTCTTTTCTTGGCTGTGGGGTTTGAACTCAGGGCCTAGCCACTGTCCCTGGTCTCTTTTGCTCCAGGTTAATGCTCTACCACTTTGAACTACTGTGTTACATCAGTTTTTCTGGTGGTTAATTGGAGATAAGAGTCTCACAGACTTTGCTGCCTGGGCTGGCTTTGAACTGCAATTCTCAGATCTCGGTCTCTTGAGTAGCTAGGATCATAGGCATGAGCCACCACCAGCAACCAGCTGGGGTTTATTTTTTCTGTATATTGGTCAACACTTTAGTGGAAGGCCCTGAGTTCAATCCCATGTATTGCCAAAAATAGATAGATAGATAATTGAATGTAAGGAGTTTCAAGCCTAAGATAAATGCTTAATGTTATCCCTGGAGTGATAGTTAAGAAAATTTTTTTTGTTTCTTTTAAGTTCTGTCCACACACACACACACACACACACACACACACACACACACACACACACACACACGTGCAGGTAGATGAATGCTGATGCACACACAAGAACAATATGCACATGTTTTATACACTTGTTTTTTTCTGGTACTGGAGGTTGAATTCAGGACCTCATTGGTCCTGTGCAGGTGCTCTACCACTTGAACCCCTCTGCCAGTCACGGATGCAATTTTCATTGAGTATTTTCTGTGTAGGTGGTTGACTTTGTGGATGCAGAACCCATGAATATGGAGAGGTGATTTTTATTATTTTCATCAATGATGTAAATGGGATGTTATAATAGTCTTAAACTTAGCATTTAATAATTTTTTTAAAAAAAACTGGCAATTTTCTGAAATACTAAAGTCACATTTTTTTCTTTTTTTCTTTTCAGGCTTCCTAACCAGGTTTGAATTAATACAGTTAGTACCTCCAGGTAATGTGCTAGTAAATGCCCTTCTAAACTAGCTTCAGTTTTAAAAGGATTTTTGGCATGATGCACTGGGAGCTGGCATTTGAAAGTTGTGCTTCCCTCCCCTCCTCCCAATACTGGGAATCAAACCCAGGTCCGTGTACATGCTAGGGGAGCATTTTGTCACTAAGCTACTCTACAGTCTTAAAAGTTTTGCTTTTAAGTAATACATAACATGTTTATAAATTTATGTGACATGCTTTTTGTCAGCCAATCTATTAAAGTTTGTCTATTAATAATTTCAGAAAGAAACCTCATGTTCATTAGCATTCTCCTTCCTTTCTCCAGTCCCAGTCACCACTAATCTGCTTTTTGCTTCTGTCGATTTGTCAGTGTTGGACCCTTTGTGTAAAAGGAATCCTGTGCTAGGTAGCTTTTTATATTTGGTTCTTTCACTTCTTATAACGTTTTCAAGGATCAGTTATGTTGCAGCATAGATCTGACTCCTTTTTATGCCAGAAGAACCCCCTTTACATGGATGTACAGCACTTACCCATTCATTAACTCTAGACAGTTATTTCCACTTTGGATATTATGAATAATGCTGTTAGAAACAATCATGTGTAAATCATTGTGTATTTGCTTTCAGTTCTTTCGGATATTCTTAGATGTACAACTGCTAGTTCATATAATTCTTTAATTTCTGTGTATGTGTGTATATGTGTATGTGTGTGAGAGAGAAAGAGAAAAAGAGGAGAAAAAGCATCTATAACTTAGTAAATCGATTTGGATCTTTGCTATTACATATTTCTAATTTCCTGTCTCAAAAGGAAAATAAATATAGTGTTCATGTGTTGTAAAAAGCAACTGCATTATCCTCAGAAAACGTTTTATTATAGTTTGATGAATATATTTTTGGTATTTCTCTGGGTAGAAATGCAGAGAATGTTTACAATGTGTCTATATACCTTTTTTCTGTTATTCTTCCCTTCTCTTTATGTCACTTTTATTGACAGGTGAATTGTACATTATACATATTAATGGAGTCCCCTGTCACTTCTATACATGCATAGCATGCATTCATCATATCTGTTCACTTTTCCTTCACCTTCTACTCTCCCCATGATACTCTTCCCAGATTCTAGGACTCATTCTACTTTCTTTCTTTCTTTTTTTTTTGGTGGTCATGGGGCTTGAACTCTGGGCCTGAGCGCTATCCTACAAACAACAAGATTTCATTTTTTTCTTTATGACTGACTAATGTACCATTGTATTAGTTCTAATAATAAACCTATATCATTTTGTGGATGTGTGTGTGTGTGTGCTAGTTCAAAGGCTTGAACTTAGAGTCTGCCCCTGAGTTTGTTTGCTAAAGGCTAGCGCTCTACCACTTGAGCCACAACTCTATTTCTGGCTTTTTTGGGTGCTTAATTAGAAATAAGAGTCCTGCAGACTTTCCTACCCAAACTGGCTTTGAGTCATGATCCTCAGATCTCAGCCTCCTGAGTAGCCAAGATTACAGATGTGAGCCACTGGCACCCAGCTCAAAGGTAATTTTTTTTTTTTTTTGGGTCCGGTCGTGGGGCCTGAACTCTGGGCCTGGGCACTGTCCCTCAGCTCTTCAGCTCAAGGCTAGCGCTCTACCACTTGAGCCACAGCGCCACTTCCGGCTTTTTTCTTTTTGCTTATGTGGTGCTGAGGAAGCGAACCCAGGGCCTCATGCATGCAAGGCAAGCACTCTACCACTGAGCCACCTTCCCAGCCCTGAAAGGTAATTTTTGATAGCTATAAGGAACTTCCTTAATTGACTTACGTTTGTGTGTATGTATGTTGCTGAAGACTAAATTCAGGCCATCATGCATGCTAGGTCAAGTACTCTATCATTGAAGCCACACCCTAGCCCTTTCCCTTAAAAAAAAAAATTGTATTTTGAGACAGGTCAGGGCCAGAACAATGGCTCACGTGGCATAGCACCTGGCTAACAAGAACAAAACATGGAATTCAGTCCTTCCTTCCTTCCTTTCCTCCCTTCCCCTCCCCTTTTCTTTCTTCTTTCCTTTCTTCCTTCCTTCCTTCCTTCCTTTCCTTCTTCTTGCTTGCTTGCTTGCATTCTTGCTTTCTCTCTTGCTTTCTTGCTTCCCTTTTATGCTAGTACTAGGGCTGGGGCTTGAACTGAGGGCCTCACAAGCTCACTTGGCATTTTTACTCAAGCCTGGCACTCTACTACAACCACATCTCCACTTGCCATTAACTTGTGGACAGAACAGGCTGCTATTCAGAAATACTCACTGAAGGAATTTCAGCCAAAAAGTGACATGCTTAAAATCAGGCCATTGAGTTTTTTTCCATAATTAAAAAAACTATTTGACCCAATTTTATGTTCAAACATATAACACTGCTCACTGGCAAGTTATATTTTAATATGCTAATAAAGCAGAAGTTTGCTTATTTGATCTTATTTAATTTTTCACATTATAGAAAATAGCCCAATATCTAAATAGTTCACTGTAAAAATTTTAATACAAAATTCATAGGTTCAAAGTCAATATTCCATTCATCAACAACCACTGTCAGGCACTTTATTAACAATTTGTCATTCTTTTTAGGCCCTTTCAAATGCATTTGTTATATAGGGCATACAGTATAATACACTGATTCTAAAATAAAGCATGCATATTCTCATACACACTGTCTCTACATTATCTGCACACTATATTGCAAATGGACATGTGTATAGATGTTAAAATGCATGTTACGTAGTTTTCTTTTTAAAATTTAATGTGTTGGCCTGCCAAATATTCTTCATGTGATCAGAAATCTCTATGTGACAAGTTGCAGGAATAGTTGTTTGAGAAGAACAGTGAAGCTGGGTGTGGGTGGCTCATGCCTATAATCCTAACTAATGAGGAGGCTGAGATCTGAGGATTGTGGTTTAAAGCCAGCCTGGACAGAAAAGTTTCTGTGAGACTCTTATCTCCAACTAACCACTCAAAAACCAGAAGTGCCACTATAGATTAAGTGGTAGAGGACTAGCCTTGACCACTGGGAAACTCAGGTACAGTGCCCAGACCCTGAGTTCAAGATCCTCCCACAACTGACAAAAAAGAAAAAAGAAAGAAAAATAAAGAACAATGATTGAGAATATTTAAACTGAGAGACATGCATACTGCTCATAATTTACAAGTGGATTTTATGCAAATGAGAGCCTTCGTAGGCTTGTTTACTTTTGATCCAACAGGCTCCAATTTATGATTATAATCTTAATAGAATTAAGTTTAAATTACTCAAAATAAGAGTTTCACTCAGTTTCAGAAAGCATGCATTAATCCATTCATTTGTTCAACATTAAAAAAATAACATCAGTTAATGTACAAGGCGTTTCCTTTATCTACTTATTTATCTAACTGTTATTTTGTGCTGGTACTGGAGTTTGAACTCATGGTCAGCATGCTGTCTCTCAGCTTTTCCACTCAAGGTTGATGCCCTGCAACTTTGAGCCACACATCTACTTCTGGCTTTTGGGGAGTTAATTTAAGATAAGAGTCTCACAATTATTCCTGCCTCTGGGCTGCCTTTGAATGAAGATCCCTAGGTCTCAGCCTCCTGAGTAGCTAGGATTACAGGTGTGGACCTGGCAAGATTTTATTTTATTTTTTCAATCATCCCTCTATCATTCTCCTTCCTCTCTCACACTTTCCAAACCAGTCTTGTCAAGTTTCTATGTTCCATTTTCATAACATGTTTACAGAGTATTTTTTAAAATTTATTTTTATTGTAAAGGTGATGGTCAGAGGGGTTACAGTTACATAGGTCAGGTCCTGAGTACATTTATTTTCGAACACTGTCACCTCTTCATTTTTTTCTCAATTTTTCCCTACCGAACCCCCTCCCCCTCAAGTTGTTTAAGATTCATTTTCAACATAGTGTCTAGTGAATGTCCTTGCTGAATTAGTTCACCCTTTGTCTTACCATTTCTATGCTTCCCCTCTCCAAAACAGATAAACTTACATACAAGACAAAGGGTACAGAAATTTAAAAAAAAACAGCGACAAAAGGGGAAAAACAAAACAAAAATCACAAAAAGTAAATAAAAACCCTCTTGTTTCCGTTCGTTTTGATAAACATTTTACATGATCATATGCAAATAGCTATTGAGCCTTTGTGATCCTCTCCTAAGAATATCTTCCTTTGGTCTCACTCATCTCTAAAATACACTTAGAGCTCAAAAACTCACCCCCCAAAAAAGAAAACAAATCTTCAAACAACAACTCAATTAATAAATGGGCCAAGGACTTAAAGAGAGACTTCTCAGAAGTATGAATGGCCAATAGACACACGAAGAGATATTCAGCATCCTTGGACATAAAAGAAAGGCAAATCAAAACAACATTGAGATTCCACCTAACCCCAGTATGAATGGCCATTATCAAGAAAACTATAATAACAGATGGTGGTGGGGATGTGGCCCCTATTACACTGTTAGAGGGAATATAAACTTGTTCAACCACTCTGGAAAGCAGCATGGAGTTCCTCAACAGACTAAACATAGAGCCTCCCTATGACCCAGAAATCCCACTTCTTCCAATTGACCACAAACCAGGCCACATTAAAGCTACCAGCACAACCATGTTTCTTAAAGCATTGCTTATTCTAGTCAAGATATAGAATCAACCCAAATGTCCCTCAGTGGACAAATGAATCAAGAAAATGTGAATAGAATTCTATGCTCCCATCAGAAAGAATGATACTGCCCCATTCATAAGGAAATGGAAAGACTTGGAAAAAATCATACTAAGCAAAGTAAGCCAGACCCAAAGAAACATAGTTTTCATGTTTTCCCTCATTTGTAATCAGTGCCTATAAATCTACAAGTAAACACAATGGGTGGTAAAAGACTGAAAAATTACACTTGGATATGATAAATTATACAGGACTCTAAATATCTTGAGTATTTTGAGTAATTTGTTTTCCTCTCTGCTCTGTTCATCTGTTCCCTCCCTCTAGTATTCAGGCCTTCGTCCATGCATCTTTCAGTGTCCTAATATATATGTATTTTTAAACCTACCTTCTTGAATGTGTCAACATACATTCTTGAGGGTGTCCTTGGCACACAGTCAAGTGACAGTTGTGACATCTTTGACAACTGGTGTAGTGTTAGTGATGCTAGGCACACAGACTCAGTGAGTTCTCAGGACCCACTGGTCCTTGATACTAATTGGGTAAAAATGATTTGCTCAAAGTGCATGTGGGCAGCATGAAGGGGGTCGCATGGGCTACAGTTAAATGCTCAGGGACCCACATTTTCTTTGGTTGATTTACCTTTTCATTTTGCTACAGGAAGTACATTATTGCTTGATTTTTTTTCCATGTTGCTTTCAGACACATTTACAGTCAGAAGACGTTTAACCAGTAACTTAGCGGCAAAAGTGTAATTTTATTCAGGTTTGCAGATAGCTGACTTCACTGCTATAATGATTTGCTTTTGGGGAGATCAGGTTTTTCAGTTTACAATAGTGGAAAAAATTATGGACACAAGGGGGCAGTGTAATACTGTTGGACTGTGAGATCAGGGCTCCGCCCCCCCCATCTTTTAAAAAATTATGAGTCTTCTCAGTCAATACCTTCTCTTTCAGTAAGTTATATATATTCAGTACAACTGCAAAATCTGCAAAATCATCTTTTATTGGGAATTTATGCACTTAACCAGGGCTTGGTTTTATACTTAGATAATTAATACTCTCTAGACCTCAGCAAGGAAAAAACTCTCCAGTGATGTAATTTTTATTTGTTATTTTTTAATATTTTTTTTGTGTGTACTAGTACTAGGACTTAAACTCAAGGCCTCATGCTCTCGCTCAATTTTCTGCTCATGGCTGGTGCTCTACTTGAACCATACCTTCAAGCTTAGCTTTCTTATTCTACCCTCTGGTTAATTGGAGATAGAGTCTTGACTTACCTTCCTGATCTGGCTTCAAACTGATGGGATCCTCCCATCTCAACCTCTTGAGAAGACTAGATTACAAGTGTGAGTCACTGGGCCCAGAAGATGATCTGGGTTTTGAATTCCTGCTTTGCCATGACAAGTGTCTCTCGATTTTCTCGTCTGTAAGAGCCTCGGTTGGAAGCCTATAGTGAATGATACGCTGTATGAATACTATTCTCAAACTGATGTTATTAAAAATGATTATGTTTCTGAAAGGCTCACTTGTTTCCTTTTTTGGCCACGAGAAGTTTTTCATTGCTGGCATGATGATGTCACTGTGTAGGCCATGAGCCTATTCAGAACACTGACTTCTTTCAGCTACCGCTCTTGGCCCATGAGACTTGCTCAGCTGGTGGTTGTGATAATTTCATACTCACTCTAGAGCGGGCGTTCTGCAGGATACCATAGTCCCTCTGACTTCTGCTCATGAAATGTTCTCACAAGCTGTCCAAAATATCCTGCGGTGAGAACACAAGTCTAGCCATTCTCTGGACTGTTAGCACCTCAGAATCACTGACACATTAACCTCTTATGTGAACTTTGTGTGAACAGGTCTATCTCCAGGACCTGGCTCAAGGTTTGTCACTGACAAACATTTGCTGAAGACAAGAAGAGATTGGTGGATGGGTGGGTGGATGGATGAATGGGTGAGCCAATGGATGGATGGATGGATTCAATGACAGATTGTCTTCTTAGTTCCATTTTGTGGAGCGACCTTCAAACTTATCAAATCCATTAGGACTTGAGAGGCTCTTCCAAATTACCCATGAGATCAAAAGTAGAACTTATTTACCTCTTGAGTGACCACTGCTGGGTTCAAAATGTCTAGTTTTCAGAGTGCCATCATTTATTTAGCTAAACTGGGGGAGGGTAGAATACCTGTACTTATGCTTTTTTTTTTTTGTCTTTCTCTTTTTTCTCAGCATGGGCAGAATTGGCCTACTATGAGGAAAACACACGAGATTTTCTTTTCCCTGAACCTAAGCTGAGACCTTTACACCCAGGAATACATAGGGAGTTACTCATGAAGACGGCTATAGGATTCCCAGTAAGTGATTAGGAGAGAAATTCTTGAGACATGAGCTTTTCATTCCTGACAGGATTGATGCTGGATCGACAGCGTCTTCTTGCTTAGTACCCCAGTTCTATTTAGAACAACTTGGCATAAATTACCAGATTGTACTGATTTCAACCATTGATCTGAGGGGTTGAAGTCTGATTATATGATGAGGCTAAGTCATTTACCATATTCACGTCACATGGTTATAAAAATATTTATGCTTATTGTTTTTCATGTTTCTCTTAACTACAGATTTATTTGTTTAGTTATAGCAGTGTTGGTAATGAGAGATGTCTCATTTATTTTGTGCCTTCAGTTTTTATTTTGTTTTGTTTTAGTTTTTGGTACTGGTTCTGAGGCTTGAACTCAGGGCCTGGACTGTCTCTGAACATTTTTTTTTTCTTTTCTCAAGAACTGCACAGTCCTATGTAAGATACAGCTCCACTTCTGGCTTTTCTGGTAGTTAATTACATTGGTGGTAAGAGTCTAATGGACTTTGCTGCCCAGGCTGATTTCAAACTGTATTCCTCAGATCTCAGCCTCCAGAAAAGCTAGCATTATAGGTGTGAGCCACTGGTGTCCAGCTATGGCCTTCAACTTTTTTATGTATGATGTTTTCCTCCTATAATTCTAAAGGTAGCCATGGCAGATATTTTAGTCTCCATGTAGCAGCGAAGAAACTAGTAGAGGCCCAGTAAACAAATATTCTTGAAGAACTGTAGAAGATGCAGCAAATATTTGGTTACTAATCAAAATATTCATCTTGATCTTGTCTAAGCAGAAACCCTAACATTTTCCCTCCCTACTTCCCTCCATTTCCTTTCCCTCTATTCTCCCCTCCTCTATTTTTTGGTGGTTGTGATTATAGAGCTTCTAATACTTCAAACAGCAAACATTCATTAAAGGTTTGCCTAATTAGAATTCCTAGTATCTCTTTCTTTCCCTCCCTCCCTCCCTCCCTCCCCCCACCTCTCTTTTGCTTTTTGCCAGTCCTGGGCTTCAACTCAGGGTCTCCGCTCCCTAAGCTTCTTTTACTCAAGGTTAGCATTCTACCACTTGAGCTACAGCGCCACTTCCAGCTTTTTCTGTTTATGTGGTACTGAGGAATTGAACTCAGGGCTTCATGCATGCTAGGCAAGCAGTCTACCACTAAGCCACATTCCCAACTCCTATCTATATCTTTAAACCCTCCTATCTTTGAGGTTTTAGTGGATATGACTGAAACTATTTTTTCTCCAACATCGCCATCATGTATAATTCATATCAATATATCTGTGATATGCTTATTTTTATGATTTTGAGTTACTGGAGTATTATTTACCAGAATCTAAGAGGAAATAAAAATGTATAAGAACTATCCTGGGGAAACTTGCTATTAACTTTGGCTTTCCCAAATTCTCTTTTTAGTAGAAGCTATTTTCAAACATGGAACTGGTTTCTGGCTAAGAATCAAAGCAAAGTGAAACACTTTCTTATATTTTCTTAAGTGAATTGTTTGATTTTATGGGCACAAATGGAAGACCTTATAGGAAGATGTGTTTATAGTTATTTATAAATTCTGTTATTCTCAGAGAAAGCTTAAAAATATCTTGAAATAGCCTTATGCATTAGATATAAAGTATCAGTTCTTTTTTTATCATTAGCACAAGGTAGTTGTACAAAGAATATCTCATGATGATACTTCCACACCTGTGAATATGTATTTCATTCATCCGCATCTTTCCATTTTTCCTCCTCTCCCACTTGCCCTTCTTAAAACAAACTCATGAGGTTTCATTGTTCTGTTTCAACACATGCAAACCCAACTTTGTGGACCATATTTATCCTTCATCCTCTTTTTTAACCTTCCTCCTCCTGACATGAGCTTGTCTTACAAAGTATCAGTTCTTACCATTTATTAATCAAACTCTTTTAAACAATTCATGAAAACATAGAGGGGCTCCAGTTCTCCAAACTATTCCATAAAGCAAAATAAACAGTTACCAAGGTTTGAAAAAGAGCTGATGCTTATTGTGGTTTTATTAGAGAATGGATTATCTTTCTCATCCTCCCTTCTCTTTGCAAGATAGCCCTGATCTTTTCCCCTCTTGCATATGGGAAGCTGGGAGAGGGGTTTTCAGAAACATCCTGAGGGTCATAGTGTGAGTGATGGAGTGAGATTCTGATGCTTCGTGGTTTATACTGAGTCACACTGCCTGATGCTCTTTCTCTCTATTTTGGTCCACTATTCTATTTCCTTTTATTAATATTGTAGGAAGTAGAATGAATGGCCTATGTAGGTCAAGCAAACCTTTTGCTTTATCGTCTCTGAATTTGTCAATTCATCAATATTTCTTCCACTATAATGGGACTTTTCTTTTGTATTTCACTGTTGTTTTTTTTTTTAAATTTACCTCATTAGTTATCTTAATAATGTTTTAGCTAGTAGGATACTAAGCAAAAAAATATAGAGGTGTCAGTTAATAAAACAAAATGAAGACTTTGGAAATCGATCTGATAAGCACTCATAGTTAATATAAAAACAGGGATAACTGCATGCCATTCTATATCCTGTGTTTTAAGTAGAGTCACTAGCAGACTGGATACTGCAATCAGAATGCCTGGCCTCAGTTTATCAGCTTTGTCATTGCTAGGTGGACAACAATCTTGACCTTTGTCCTCATTTACCCACCAACAAGTAGAGATTGTATAAGAACTTACTTCATGGGGTTGTGTTAACAGTTGATATAGTCAAAGTACTTGGGCCTGCATTTAGAATATAATATATGCTTTATCTTTTAAGCCATTAATTCCAGATATATTTTACATCATATATGCAGATATAGCATCTACACAGGAGAACAATGAGGTTCTTGGCTAATTGTAAGTTAGGATGAGATGGACAAAGAATTATTTCCAGTAATATTATATGTTCTCTTATATGCTGTTTTCTTTGTAGGGCATTGCTCCCAAACTAGAATTTTCTACAAGGACAGCCATCCGAGAATGTGTATTTCCTCATAGAAACAGATTTCTTGTAAGTATCGTCAGAAAATAGTGATCGAAATCATAGCATTCTCACTAAAAATGTAAAGGTTTTTTTTCTTTCTTTCTTTTTTAACCCAGAACTCAGTTCAAAATGTCTATGCAACAGGAAAAGTAGAAACGGAGAAACGCTTTGCTAGGTTTGAATTTTTGGTATTTACATCACTTGCTCATCCTTGGCCATATTGGAGTGACATTAGTGTTTAGTCACATAGAGTGATGAGTGTTTGGCATATATTTTGTGTGGCATGTAGCTGCTAGAGCACGGTGATTCAGATGCTAAAAAATCATGTTTTTGATGGAAGTGTCCTTGTTAACTCTTGTGGCTTTACTCATTTTCTTCTCCCTCTTCCCCTAGGATGATAATTTGCATTTGTGCTCCGTCTTTGATAAAACTCTAAAGATCTTAGGGCATCCATGTGAAACACCTTCCATCTCATTGTGACTCTCAATTTCTTTTCACTGGGTTTCTTTGCTTTATTTTTTTCTCCTTAATATATACAATTCTGTAGTCATTTAAGTACTTTGTAGAGGGAGAAAGGGATGAGTTAAATTGTGAAGCTCCTGTAGGGTAGAATGAAATTAAGAAGTGAAACAAAACATTATCTCTTATCTCACCTGTACCTGTGGTCTTGGAAAAATATGTTGAAAAAATGTGGGCCAGGGGAGCTGAATGAAGAGGAGCATTCATCTTTACAAGTCTATCAAATCTCTTGGTATAATAACTCACACAACGACAGAACAGTGATTAATATTAAGAAAGGCACAGGCTGCTATTTAGATTCTCCTGATCTACATCCTCCATGCTCTAATTTGTTTATAATATGTTCTGGACAATTTCTAAATCCATTTTTCGTTCCTATTCTACTGTGTGAATCTTGTGTTAATGTCCTACTATATTTATTTTGGTATCAAAGCAATTAATCACCCAAAAGCTGGCAGTGGAGCTGTGGCTCAAGTGATAGAGCTACAGCCTTGAGCAAAAATCTCAGAGACAGTGCCCAGGCCCTGAGTTCCAGCACCAAGGACAGGCACAAAAAAGAAAAAAAAAAGGAGTGGGGGAACCCTATTAACTAGACCACTTGCTATTTTGCTCAAGGCTAGCTGTCTACCCCTTGAGCCACAACATTTTTCCCCCTGGCTTTTGGGTAGTTAATTGTAGATTACAATCTCACTGGACTTTCCCACATAGGCTCTCAGTCAATCACAGTTCTTAGAGCTCAGCCTCTTGAGTACTTAGGAGTACAGGCAGGAGTCACCAGCACCTGGTGTTCATTATATAGAGGGTCTCCAGGGTATATGCAGGCCTATCTATGCTTCTTACATAGCTAGAATGAAAAGCATTTACCACCATGCCCAGTTATTGATTGACATGGAATCTCAAGTGTCTGCCCAGGATGGCTTCAGGCCACAGTCTTCTGAATCTCCACCTCCTAAGAAGCTAGTATTACAGGTGTGGGCCACTGACACAGAGAGCTACTAGTGATGTTAAATTGGGAGAATATTAACTAGAAAAATGCTGTTCCTTAAATTCATGACAGGTAGATCTTCTGCTTCCATTTTTAAAAGTTCAACTAAATACAGTTACATTTTAATTAAATCTTCTCCTCCTCTTCCTCCACTTCCTCCTCCTCCTCCTCCATTTTTGTATTAAAAACATTCTAGGGCAGGGCACTGGTAGTTCATGCCTATAATCCTAACTGCTCAGAAGGCTGAGATCTGAGGATCATAGACACAGATAACAAAGTCCAAGAGACTCTTATCTCCAATAAACTATTCAGAACAAACTGGGGCTGTAGTTCAAGTGGTAGAGCATTAGCATTGAGCAAAAGAAGCTCAAGGATGATGCCCAGGCTCTGAGTTCAAGCCCCAGAATGGAAACAAATAAAACAAAATCTTCTGGGGATGTAACTCAGTGGTAGAAAGTCTTCCTCCTGTGCTCAAGGCCCTGGATACTAGGGTACAATCCCCAACACTGCCAAATAAACAAGCTTAAGAACCAACTTTCTTTTTTACTTCAGGATGAAGAATATAACCCACAAAAGCCTTCATCTAACTCATATGGACAGATACCCCCCTTAAAGAATAAAAAGAAGAAATCAAAGAAGAATCATGACAGACTACGTAAAGGCATGCAGTCCCGGGCACCCTCTCCATATTTCACCAGGCGTTTCCTCCTGGAGCAGCCGACTCAATTGGACTTTGGCAATCACTTCAGATTCCCTGAAGATAGAAAACCTCCATTTGTGGTTAGACATGTAAGTCTAAAGTTTTTGTTTGTTTGCTTGTTTTGAGTACTTTGCATATGGAACCAACCCAGAGGCCCCTCAGTAGATGAATGGATCAAGAAAATCTCTCTCTCTCTCTCTCTCTCTCTCTCTCACACACACACACACACTGTAATTCTATGCCTCAATCAGAAAGAATGACATCGCCCCATTTATTAGGAAATGGAAAGAATTGGAAAAAATTATATTAACTGAAGTAAGCCAGGCCCAAAGAAACACAGGTCCCATGGTTTCCCTTATTTTCAATAACTGGTATATGTCTAGGACAAGCAGAAAAGGTCAAAAGCTATGTACATATGACCATGTAAGATGATGCTAAGCGAAATGAATCCCAAGGCAGGGACACAAGTGGTTTTTTTCTTTCTTGCTATTGTTTTTAATGTATTTATAATGTCCTAAGTGATTTTTTTTGTTTCTTTTGTATGTTCTTCCCTCACGGTATAACCCCTGTTTTTACTGTATTTGATTCCGGTGCCTTGCATCTTGTGTAAACATTTTTCTAAATTGAGGAGGGGAAGGGAAATAACAAAATGCTTAAATAAGGATACAGGTTGACCCATTGTAACAATGAGATGTACAAGACACTATGTTGAAAACAAATTTTACAACTTTGGGGGGGAGGGGGAGGAGTTGGGGAGGTGGGGAAGGAAGGGATGGAAGGGGAAAAACAAAGGAGGAAGTAATATACTCATTAGGAAATGTATTTATTACCTTACTCATGTAACTGTAACCCCTCTGTACAGTATTTTTATAATAAGAAACATACAAAAAATTTTTAAAAAGAGTACTTTGCCTTGGTGGGAGAATAGAACATTGAGCTATAACAAAACAAAGGGGTCAGAGGGATTTCAATTTGACTAACACTACAGTTAAGTTAGCTTCATTTCCTAGAGCCTTTTCAGGAAACTAATAAAGGTATCTAAACTAATATCTAACTTAATAAAGGCATCTCATACAGCAAATTTACTCAGTAAATGTCACCCATCATGCTTAAATTATTTTTATTGTTATCAGTAAGGAGGGTAGCTATGTATGGTTACTTGTCATTTTCAGAAGAATCCATGTTGTCTAACATTGACTGGCTTGCTCTGGGTCATTAATCTGAAACTGAAGCTTTATTAGTTTAAAAGCATGGCTCTAGTTGTTTGTTTGTTTGCCAGTCCTGGGGCTTGAACTCAGGTCCTGGGCACTGTCCCTGAGCTGCTTTTTCTCAAAGCTAGCTACCACTTGAACCACAGCACCACTTCCAGGTGTTTTTTGTTTATGTGGTGCTGAGGAATCGAACCCAGGGCTTCATGCATGCTAGGCAAGCACTCTACCACTAAGCCATGTTCTCAACCCAGTAGTTTTTAAAATTTTTATTCTCTTCTTCTATGCTGGTATTGGGATGCTGTCTCTGAGTGTTTTCACGCAGTATTGGAGCTCTACCATTTGAGCCATAGCTCCACTTCTTGCTTTTTGGTGGTTAATTGGGGTTAAGAGTCTCATGGACTTTCTTGCCTGGGCTGGCTTGGAACTGTGATCTTCAGATCTCAGCCTCCTAAGTTTCTAGGATTATAGGTCTGAACCAACACCTAGCCAGTGTCTGTTTTCTTAACGAGATTGGGGTTCAATGGGCATACTTTGCAGAGCAGAGAATGTTTCTTGAAGGGGCCAGGATGTGTACACTTAGAAGCCTTAATTAAAGTCACCTTATTTTTAGCCTGCAGGAAATAGTGGGTAAATTTAATCACCCATACTACTGTGCCATGAAAGCAATGGAAAATATAGAAAAGTTCATGGAAAAAAATTACCCCTAGGACTCATCAGCATATTAAAATTTATTATTTAGCTTAATTTGATGGATTCTCCTTCACTTTTTTAAAAAAATTCATAGACTTCATTGCTTCCCCACAAAGTTGAAAACACCGTGTATATAGATTATCTTCCTAATTGATTGCAGTTTAGCAACATTACTTTGGGAGTTTTTTTTGTATTATTTTATACTCTTCATCAATACCATTCCAATTAATAAATTCACTCTCTAGAATGTCTCTATTACTGTTTGTTGACTTGCTATTTTGATTTAACACCACCAGTGGTGGTGTTTGCATGTTTTGTACAGTCTCGAAGTCAAATGCTGCTGAGATGGTTACGTGTGAAGCTGTTGGTTTGTAGGTAAAAATAATGTAGCTTGTTAGAAACTACTGGATAGCTTCCCTGTCTACACATATTATCTATTTATAGATGTAGAAATAAAAAACAGCTGTCTTCTTGGTAGTCTAACTATAGATAATCTATCAGCCAATCTAAATGTACTTCCATAAAAGTAATGTTAGTTTGAGATTATTGGATGGTATGATTTATTCTATCCCCTTTATATTTTGTAAGTTACAACTTTAGTCAATGCCATTTTGGTCTAAATAGCCTCAAAAGTATGGTTTGTTTTCTGGCTTCATATTTATACCATTTGACAAATTTTCATATAGCTTTTTCAGTATGCCAAGCTCTTTTATAAGTGATTTTACATATTAATTCTTTCATCTAGCCAGATTTCTTGGTATGTGACATTTCCCTGAGTAAAACATTAACTCTCAGAGAATCTGATGCTATAAATACTTTAAATCTACATCACTCTATTTCTTGAAGGGGAAGAAACACTTTTTAAACTGCTTTATTGATACTAAAAACAGCAGGAATAAGCAAAAAAAATTAGAATTCCAGAAACTTTGTGTTACAGCAATTCTAGAGTAAATCCCCTTCCTTCCTTCCTTTCTTCCTTCCTTCCTTCCTTCCTTTCTTTCTTTCTCTTTCTTTCTTTTTTTTTTTTTTTTGGGTCCGGTCGTGGGGCCTGAACTCTGGGCCTGGACGCTGTCCCTCAGCTCTTCAGCTCAAGGCTAGCGCTCTACCACTTGAGCCACAGCGCCACTTCCGGCTTTTTTCTTTTTTTGCTTATGTGGTGCTGAGGAATCGAACCCAGGGCCTCAGGCATGCAAGGCAAGCGCTCTACCACTGAGCCACCTTCCCAGCCCTCTTTCTTTCTTTCTTTCATTTCTTCCTTTTTCTTTCTCTCTCTTTCTTTCTTTCTCTCTCTGTCTTTCTTTCTTCTTTGTTTCCTCTCTCTTTCTCTCCTCTCTCTCTTTCTTTCTCTCTTCTCTCCTTCTCTCTCTTCTTCCTCCTCCTCTTCCTCTTTCTCCTGCTCCTCCTCCTCCTCCTTTTTTCTGGTCCTAGGGCTTGGACTCAGGGTCTGGTCCCTGTCCTTGAGCTTTTTTGCTCAAGCCTAGCACTCTACCACTTGAGCCACAGCACCACTTTGAGCCTTTTGTAGTTAAATGAAGATAAGAGTCTCTTGTACTTTCTGTCTCAGCTGGCTTCAAACTGCAATCCTTAGATCTCAGCCTCCTGAGTAGCTAAGATTACAGGTGTCAGCTACTGGCACCTGGCATTCCTTTTGTATTATTTTAACCTGTTTACACATCATGTCATTAGTCCCAATCTTTCTTTGGGAAAATGGGATCTGTCACCTTAAGGAAAATAATAGTTACCTATTCTTTTTTTTTCCCCTCAGGAATATAGACACTCAGGTCAGGTGCTGGTGGCTCACATCATAATCCTAGCTGATAAGAGGCTGAGATCTGAAGGTTGAAGTATGAGATTCATTTTTATGAGACTCATACTTCCAATGAACCAGGAAAAAAAGCCAGAAATGGAAGTGTGACAATGTGTGAGTTCAAGCTCCAGTACATTAAAAAAAGAGGCCGGGCACTGGTGTCTCATACCTATAATCCTAGCTACTCAGGAGGCTGAGATCTGAGGATCATGGGTCAAAGCCAGCGTGGGCAGGAAAGTGGAAAGTCCATGAAACTATTATCTCCAATAAACGACCAGAAAACTGCAGGTAGTGCTGTGGCTCAAGTGGTAGAGCACTTAGCTTGAGTTGCAGAGCTGAGGGATAGCACCCAGGCCCAGAGTTCAAGCCCACAACCAGGGAAAAAAAAAGAAAATAGGCGCTTAGACTGGAAGGGCATAGAAGACAGGAATATTACTTTGTGAAGTCCCTTGCTCTCAGCAAAGGAGCTGCGGAAGCCAGCCCTGTTTGTACAGTTTAAGAACTTCATGCTTTGTCCTATTTTAAAAGATGGTAAAGTAAAGCTTTGGCTGGCTCTTTGCACGTCATCTGTACCAGCTATTATAATTTCCATCCAACTTTAATTCTTTCTGCTCACATTTAGCCTATATTTCTATGTACTAGCCTTAGGGAAATCTAAGTGAAGCTAGAGGGACCATTTCTCTTATTGGGTATATCACATAACATGTTTGGAAACTGTGATTGAGGTTATTTTCTAACCTTCTCTATTTCTAAGCTGCACAATGAGTGACTGAGAAGAAGAAAGGCACCATGGGTAACAAGGAAAAAATAATACAAGCTACTGTGCATTAAGTCTTATTTCTTTACTTTAAGGTGGACAGTGCAAACCCCTTTGGTGAAGATAATTTGGAGCATCATTTGTTGACGTCTCAGAGAAAATCTAAATTTTCAGACTTTCTGTTTCCAATGAGAAGAGGTACTGGAGTTTCTTGTTATATTTCCTATGGGAACTAGTGTACTATACTTACCATCTTTCCCTTTAAGGAGACACACAGGATCCTGGAAACTGTGAGCCTTATTTCTCCAGGATTCTCAGGTTATGGTGTTACTGTAGGTCAAAGGTAACTGGGAAGCCAGAATGATTGAAGCGAAATGTGCTCAATAGATTCCTACTAACTCAGTGTGGCCAGAAAGTTAATTACCAGGCTTTTAAGACCTTTCCTTCCCTTCCTTCCCCTTCCCTTCTTTCTCTTTCTTTAGTTTCTTCTTTTTGGTGGATTGTACTTTGAACTCAGGGCTTTACTAGGCAGGTGCTCTACTACTTGAGCCAACCCTAGCCTTGTTTGCTTGTATTTTGAGATAACATCCCACATTTATGACTAGGCTAGCCTGGACTACAAGCCTCCGTGCCTGGCATGGTAGTCATGTGCCACCATGCCCAGCTACTGATTGAGACAGAGGCTTACTAACTTTGCCCAGAGGCCTCAGACCTACAGCCTCTAATTTCTGGCTCCTAAGACCCTTTTATGGCTTCCTTTTTACTACCAGTAATATAGAGGAATCAGAAGTCCAGAAAAAGTTCCTGTAACTCCCTATCACACAAACATTGCCTTATAGGTACTCATTTCAAAGGTTTTTTTTTTTTCTACAACCCGAAGAAATCCAAGTTCATCTCAGGTTTCTCTATGCATATTTACTACACACTTCCTAACCATCCTCTCCATTCTCTAGCTTTAGGACTACTTACTTTTCACAATAATGTAGTATAATCAGAATGAGTTCTGTTATTGCTGCATTATGCTTTGATGCATGAATTATTTCAGTTTAACATTCATATTTGCCTTGATAGGTATATTCAAGAGCTCCTGAAACAAATAGGGATTCCACAGAAACCAAAGAGAGTAGCAGGGGAAGTTTTTGGGGGGATACACATCCATTTCATTCGAGCTCTGGGCACCTGTTTTCTGGTTGAACCCGCGAAAAGGGCCCTGAACATGTGCTTTGCTAGTTTTGCTTTTCCATACATGCTGTCACTAAATGATATCATTATTGACCCCAAGGACAGAAAAATCTCATAAATGGAAGTTGAGTGACTCAAGGGAGATTGAAAAGTGGAACAGTGGGATTTACAAGGGAATATTAGAGTTCTTTAATAATTCATTCACGGTCATAAGTTTTTGTTTTTGTACTATGATGGCATAGATGTAACAGTAATCATGGGGTGAAGTGGAAATAACGAGTCAAACACCTGTTCCTCTCTCTTCTAGCTTCTTCTCTTGACAGCTTTGCAACGAACGTAAAGGTAATTTGAGATGTAGCATTTGTAAAATGATTTATTTCCAGCTATCTTATGTCAGTCATTGTGATTTTGTAGTCAGCAGTGGAAAGGATATCATTACTTAGTACTATGTATGAAGAGTTGCTTTAATTTAACTAGAGGTGACTAGTCCCTATGGTAACCTTTGGGGTTTCTGAGTTTGCTTCCCTCTTTTCATTTGCAGGATGAATAACCAAGGAGGGTGCAAAGACCCCAATGCTTACTTTATCAGTAGTGATTTTTATTGCCTGTTCTCCCCTTATACATGAAAATAGACTGAAGCAAAGAAAGCTGAATATACTATGTTTCTTATGCCATAGCACTTAAACATTTCGTTCAAAAATTCTTTTTTTAAAAAATGCAGGTCCTGGGGCTTGAACTCAGGGCCTGGGTGCTGTCCCTGAGTAGTGCTTTACCATTTGAGCCACAGCTTCACTTCTGGCTTTTGGAGGTAGTTAATTGGTGATGAGTCTCACAGACTTTCTTGCCCTTGTTGGCTTGGAACCACAATCTTCAGATCTCAGCCTCCGGAGTAGCTAGAATTACAAGCTGGCTTCTGGCTTTAAACATTGTTTATTTCCCAGAGTCAATAATCCCGGTTCTTGGAAATCAGTTATTTTGGCTTATTAAGATATACTAAATAAATGAGCCTCGACTCCTTGCTGTCCCACTTTTATTTGCAGGCAAGCGTTGGGGTTTAGTATATTATCTTCTTACCTCAATTCTCTTCCATGTACTACTCCCCCTTCTCTTTAAATGAAGCAAACAAAAACCTAAACTGCAACTAAAGAATAATGCCTTTTGTCACTCAGGTTATTAGAGAGCCAGATGAACGGATTGTTTTAAAGAAAGACTCACAGTCATCTGTAGAGTCAAGTAAATGGGATATGTTCTCACTCAGAAACCAAGGAGATGTTGATTTCCACCGAAAAACCTCACTGGCTACCTCCCCATACTCCAGATCCTCCAGCCCCGTGGATCAGCCTTTTCAAGAAAGGTCAGTACCCAGCTCCCTGTCCCCTTCCGTCAGGAGTGCCTTGGGGGTCTGTCAGGAAGAAAGCCTGGTTATGTCACCAGTTTTTTTCCCTTGTTATGGGGAAAAATGAATTATTAACTAATCAGTTTTAGTGTACAGAGACAAGTGATCAGAAACACATTCACACCTTTCTCTCTACCTGGCATCTATTCACCTCTGGCTAAGTTGGCATAGTGGAAGAAGTTATCCTGGACTCAGCGACTTCTCCAAAATTAGTCTTAAACTGAGAGTGAGACAAACTATCAGCTGGTAGTGATCAAGAGAGCTGGGTTCCGGTGCCAATTATCTTGGCTTTCAGTGCTGGGTGATCTCACAATTATTTACCCCAGTTTCCTCATCTTTAAAAGGAGCATGATGACCAGAGATCCATAACATTTCAGCCATACTGGGCTTCTCTGTTGCTAGAAGTGGGGCTTTTGTACACATAGTTATATATACATTTTCCAAACTCCTTAGAATCAGTGAAGCAGGCTTTTGTGATGGATTGAATTGAGTACACAGTTATTAAGCAACTATTTATGTGCAGCGTCTGTGATATGACACATTTCTGCTTTCCAGTGGCTCACACATCAGCCAAATGTGAGACTGATTGCAGTGTGCACTTAAAAGCAGTATGCCGAGTACAGGGGAAGACAGTGAAGGAGGAAATTAATCCTGCCAGCAAGGTGGCTTGGGAAGGCCCAGCTTCTCATAAATATGTTGGATGGTTCATCCCTTCATTCAGCCAGCCTTTTATGAGTGTCTGTATACAGAAGGCCATTTTCACCTCTGTATAACACAAGAATTGCCTCAGGGTTATGAGTCAAAATCAGCTGGATAGAGGAAGTGATTTTGATCAAAGTATATTCTATGCCCATATGGAAATATGGAAATATTACAATGGAAATATTACAACAAAACCCCCATATATAATTAACATATCAAAAAGAAAGCAAAATGAAATTTAAAAATCCATTGGGATAGGAATAGAGTGTATAGAATCTAAGACAGGACTGACAATCAATCTGTCAAGCCTGGGATGGAATTATTAACTATGAATGAGTTTCCCCTCATCTCTGACTTCTAGTTCAACTTAAAAAATGTATATAAAAAAGTATATGAAGAACTTTCAACAGGCAGAGCTTTGTGAATGGTAATAAGGAAGATGGCACTTGTAGTGAATTTTTTTGGAGGGGGGTGACATTTTCATTTGAGCCCTGCACGGGTGGGATTGGTTTGTGACAGAGTTAGTTGAAGAGACAGATGGGAAGTAAGAAAGCAAGGGCCCAAGTGAGCTTCTAGCAATTAGAGATGACTTTTGGGAAATAGTGGTGCCAGCACTTTTGGGTCCGTGGAAAGTAAGCTGAGGAGTTTGAGCTTCTTTTTCAAGGCAGTGGGAAGTTTATGAATGTTTTATAACAAAAATTGGCCCAGAGACAACTTCAGGAAGGTGAGATTACAAGCTAGAGTTTCATCAGCCATCTTCGATGATGGCAGCAAATCTAGTGTGCCCCTAACTCATAATGACAAAGAATAACATGTCGGCAGAAAGAACATCCAGTTTGCCCATGACTGCCCTGGTTTTGGTCCCAAAAAAGTTCTGCATTCTAGGAAAGTCCTGAGTAGCTCAAGACAGTTAACCTTAACTTCGGAGGAGCAGCAGTAAATGCCTTTCCTGAGCTTAGGGAAGACTCCATTTCCTGTTGATTTTCTCTTTTTCCCCATGCATGTTTAAATTGTTGTTATAAAGGTGATATACAGAAGGGTTACAGTTACATAAGTCAGGTAATGAGTACATGTCTTTTTGGACAATGTCACCCCTTCCCTTATTCGCTCCCAGTTTTTCCCTCCTATCTCTATCCATTAGTGGTATAGTTCATTTTTAGCAGTGTCTACTGTTATCCCTCCATTTCTGTGCTTCCCTCTTACCCTCCCAAAGACAGATAAACAAGAGGAAAACAAAACAAAATCAGCAAACAAGAAAAAAAATCTTCTTGCTTCCATTTCCTGGAGTTCATTTTGATAAATATTATTTTGTATGATCAGATGCATTGAGCCTTTGTGATCCTCTCCTAAGAATAGCCTCCTTTGGTCTCACTGTGTGTAACTTGTAGAATTTATCATGTCCCAGTGTATTTTTTAAAACCATCTCATGTGTTTACTTGTAGATTTTTAGGTACATTCTACCTCCACAAATGAAGGAAACCATGCAATCTATTTTTCTCTGGGTCTGACTTATTTCGATTAATGCCAAGTTTTTCCAAGTCTTTCCATTCCCTTATGAATGGTACAATATCATCCTTTTTGAAGGAAGTAGCACAAAGGCAAATGTCTGGAACATTAGGTCACTAGCTCTTTGTCTACACGTGACTGTTCACTTCCCACCAACACCATCAGGACCAGTACCTTTCTGTCCACATCACCAGGGTGCACCAGAAACACCCCTTAAGAGTTTGCTAGATTAATAATAAGGCAATAAGGGCTGAGGTCACAGGAGTAAGTGGGGAGACATTTTGGAATGAGAATAACCCAAGGTTTTAATAGAAGATATGCACAGCCCTTTAACTAGCACATAACAAAGGCAAGTTCTAGAGGAGGGAAGAGCACTCTTGAATTTGCCATTCTCTTTGGCATCTGGAGAGCACCATATGCCTTCAGCACATATCTTTGCCCTTCCTTCTGCATGGAGAGAAGATGACTTACAGAGGGAAGGCTGTGATAAACACAGGACGCTTCTCCTGTGCTGATTAATCAGTCTCATATAATGATTTTCAAATGTAGAATAGATTTTTTTAGTCAGTCTTGGATCTTGAACTCAGCACCTGGACACTGTCCCTGAGCTTTCTGCTCAAGACTAGCACTATACTGCTTTAAACCACAGTTAAACCTCTGGTTTTGGAGTGGTTAATTGGAAAGAAGAGTCTCATAGAATTTCCTGCCTGGGGCTGGCTTCAAACTACAATCCTCAGATCTCAGCTTCTTCAGTAGCCAGGATTACAGATGTGAGCTACCAGTACTTGGCTTATTTTTACCTGCTATATTAATATTTCTAAAATATTTCAGTTCTTAAAGATATTTAGAGGAATACAGAAATTATACATGTAGTCCTTTCTTAAACATGAGAGTGATTGCTCAGGGTGTGTGCTTATTTGCTTTGAGTTGATTTCCTGGGTGGGTAATGGATTTGGGTATTCAGTCCTTGGTCTGAATTCTTGGTCCGGTCGCCCTGGAAACCACAGGTATTTGCTTGTTACAGGGTGTAAGGGGAGGCCACAGAGGAGCAACTGCAAGAGTGGGCATTAGCAGAGGGACTCTAACACTCACCAGATTCCCAGTCGCTCCTGTCATTTCCAATGTTGATTACACATTAGTAGGAGATGATTTTTATGTGAATTGCTAAAATTCTTTGTGGAATGTTTTAGAAAACAGTACCTTTCATGATTGACATACTATGCACAATTTTAGCTTAATTATAGCTCAGTATTTAGGATTTTATATTCCCCACATCTCCAATAGGAATGAATAAATTCACCACTCGAGCAATATTAAGAACAAAACCAAAAACAAACCTATAGTAGTACTCAGTTCCTGCAGTACCCTGGAATGAGCTATTAACTAAAGAGTCAGTTCAATTTCAGTCTAAGAGTAAAGACAGACATAAGTCAGATCAAGATGCAATGTCCATGCAGAAGAACTGTGACCGTGGTGGAGGTGTATGGGAAACCCCACGTGTGTATGAAGGTCAGCTGATCTCTACAGGAAGGACATCCCTCAGAAACCAACAGTTGAACTGAGCCCTAAGGGTGCAGAGGACTTCTTAAGAGCAGAGACTGGGATTGGGCACACATGCACGCCCATGCACACGTGTGTATGTGCACGCACACACATACAAACACATATACACTCAAAGGATTCAGTTTAGGATCAAGATAGCCTACAATAAAATTAGATATAAAATAAAATCCCAGCAATAGAAAAGAACTGAGATTAAATTTGATATGGAACATTTGAGGATTAACAATGTAACTGTAGAAGTAGGATTTATTAGTGAAATCTGAAAGCCACAGTAAAGTCCAAAACAAGAAACATTGGCAGCCACACACTTAAACACAAGTCACTTTTAACATCTTGGTTCTAGCCTTGTGCTTTCCTTATACATAGTTTAATAAAGGCATTGAAACCATGCAATATGTACTATTTCATATCTTGCTGTTCTGTCTGATCATTAACTTTTAAGTATTAACCCTTATATTTATGCATTCTACACTGGCATCTTTTCATTTGCAGCATAATGCTCCACTTCTTTTTACCCTGTTGGACAGGTTTCATTGCAGTTCTCACTCCACGTGGAAGAAGATCCATGAGAGGGTCTGCAGTCTTCTCATGTCGCACAGAGCTCAGCATCACCTGAAGGTTAGGGGTTCTGATAAAATTAACTCTTTAGTGAAGTGGTAGGAACAGAAACTTGCAGGCTAGTGGGGGGAGTCTGATGTTTATCAGATGATAACCTCAGAAATATATGGTTTCGGGGCTGGGAAGGTGGCTCAGTGGTAGAGCACTTGCCTTGCATGCATGAGGCCCTGGGTTCGATTCCTCAGCACCACATAAGCAAAAAGAAAAAAAAAAGCTGGAAGTGGCATTGTGGCTCAAGTGGTAGAGTGCTAGCCTTGAGCTGAAGAGTTGAGGGACAGTGCCCAGGCCCAGAGTTCAGGTCCCACGACCGGACCCGCCCCCCCCAAAAGAAACATATGGTTTCCTGAGAGTTTATGGTCACGATATTGGAATGGTTGAAAGTCAGGGAGAAAGAGAAAAACCTAAATGTGTGAGGCTCCGTTTGTGCACAGGATTCACCAAGCAGAGGTTCTGGGGTGGCCTCCTTTCTAAGGAATGAGAGAAGATAGTCTAACTAGCCTATAGCATATTTCCTTTCCTCTATGCAGTAGAATCCCAGTGGACCGAAGAATAGCATTGTGTGTGTGGTCTGTGTAAAGCTATAGCACAGAAGAACATTATCCTAAAATTGTACCAGGTGGTTTAATTTGACTTTTTACACGAGAGTGGGCGTTATTTCTGATCCCTACGTACATACACTTGGTACTTTGTGTCTCCACAGCTAAATGGCTTTTAATTGAATTCAAAAGAATTCAAATGAAAGGTCCACAATGCCCTCAGTTGCTGGAGTTCACTGTGTCATTTAGGTGAATTGGGTAACTTATTAAATACTGGGCATATGCCAGATTGATAGGATGACACTTACAAATGAATAGTAATGACCACAACCAAAGTGGATTGCTTTACATCCTATTGGAAGTCATCTTCTTTACCTCCTAACATTTTCAAGTAAAGAAATCCTTTTAAGATGGGGAGGAGGGAAGGAGGGAGAAAAAGAGTAAGAGAGAGGAAAGGGTAAGAGAGAGAAAGAGAAGAGAACGAGGAAGACAGGAAAGAAGGAAGGGAAGGAAGGAAGAAAAGAGGAAAGGAAGGAAGGAAATTACACACATAATTAATTCCACATATATGTATATGGATATATAATATATAGTATAAAGCATAATATAAAACATAATATACAATATTAAATACTTAATATATAATTATGTAATGTATAATAATATATTACTATATAATATATTAAACACATATCTCTTCCATGCAAAAATCATGCATTACTGGTCTTCAGTGTGTCATGCATAATATACTTTCTGGATATGTTTTGTTATAGGAAGATCATATGTCTGAAGGAACTTATGACTTTGAAAGATCAAGCTGCCCTCTGGATAAATGTCTAGTACATGAACAGAGATATTTTTAACTGCTGTCTTATGTAAGTAAGCAGGTTAAATATTTCTTTTGGTTTGCTAATATGTTTTTTTCTTTCCTGCTCTCAATGAAGGGATGAGAAGTTTCAGGGGACAGGAGGGATGGAGGAGACCTAAGAGCATTCTTCACTCAGTCAAATAGTGATAGTACATTTGTCTGCTGGCCCTCTGATCCCTCGCCCCAATCTTCCCTGTATCTTAATATACTTCTATTTCTTTTATCTCCTTGATCTTAAGTCATTTTCTGCGTGGGACCTTGGCAAATGTGCTTTCTTTGTCTGAAACACTTCTTCCCGGCTCTGCTTGGGTAACTGCTTCTTAATTTCTTTATTGTTCATGTTGTTTCATGTGTTTTTTTTTTTTTAAAGCACAAGTTCAGGGTCTGGCGTTGTGGCTCACTCTCATGCACATACTCTCATTTGCTCAGGGCTGGTGCTCAACCATTTGAACCATACCTCCAAGTCAGTTCCCCAGTGACTTCTGTTTTTCCCTCTGCTCTGTGACTTTCTGTGACACTCCCTTCCTTCTTTTACAAATCCTTTAGCCCCCTATACTTCTCTTCCATAGAGTGTGATGATGGTAATGATGGTGATGATGATGATGATGATGGTTATTGTTTATAACAAGTCTCTTCTTCTAGGATGAAACCATCCTGAGATTAGAGACCTATCCTTGTCAATTATTACCTTTCTCTGAGCTTTTAGTGTAATACGAGGAGTCTTATTTCACCTTCCAATCGCACACACTGAATGCATGCCCCGAACAGAACCTGCCTGCCCATCCTTGCCCTGTTTCTGATTTTTGCATCACTTGACTCTGTTATGACTGCTACTTACTAAAGATTTCTTTCTTTCTTTTCTCTTTTTCTGTGCTGGGGCACAAAGTTCAAGTATTTTGGCTTTTACTTGGGGCTTCCAGCTCTGGCTTGGCTTTTTTACCCGCAGCTGGTGCTTTACTACTTGAGTCATGCCCCCACCACAGCCATTTTTGCTGGTTAATTAAAGACAGAGCCTCTCGAACTTTTCTCCCCAGGGTAGTTTCAAACCTTGATCCTCAGCTCTTAGCCTTCTGTGTAACTTGTATTATAGGTGTGAGACACTGGCATATGGCTAGTAGAGATTTCTTATCAATGAATATTCTATGATAAAAAGGCAAGTCTGGAATTTAGGTGTGTGGGAAAATAGTGGGAAATATTGTAGAATTTCATAATTTCTTAGGGTTTTCTCTCATTTTTTTTCTGCGTAAGTTTAGAATAATAGCTCCTTCTTCCAAATAGTACTCTTTCTTGTAGTTGGTTACAAGTAGGATTTCTGTGGATGAGAATGATGCCAGAGAACTCCTGATCTGCCATCTTGTTGATAACACCCATCATTTAATATTATAACACTCATCATTTGATACTAATTAAATATGAGGTCAGTTAATATTTAATTTTTACAACAGCCCATGAAGATAGGTACTAATATTAGTTCCATTTTACACATAGAATAAACCAAGCCACAGAGAGGTTAGATACCTTGCTCAAGATGACATGGCCAGTAACTGGATGAACGATAATATGGGTCTGGTTAGTGTGGCTTCAAAGACTACACAGTGTTTTCTTTTTGGTAGTCTTGGTATTTGAACTCAGAGCTAAGGAGACATTCTAACACTTGAGCTATGCCTCAACCCATTTTGCCTTAGTTATTCTTTTGGGTAAGGTCTTATGTTTTTGCTTCAGGCCATGATTCTGCAGCCTACGCCTGTTTCATAGCTGAGATTATAGATACGATCCACCATACTTGGATCAAGAAAACAGCTGGGTGGGTGATCACATATTCTGTTGGCTTTTACTTTAGAACGTTCCGCTTGGTAGATTAAAGGATGGATTCCGGACCACTTTTCTTTGGCTGTAGAGAAAATAGTCATCTAAGCTTTTATTAGATTGTTATACAGAACACAGCCCACATAATTGCATTGAATTTTAGCGTGGGTAAAGTCAGTTCCATAAAACTCAGAACCAGCTAATAGGTGGTCACTAATATGAGAAGACTGAGAAAAGATAAGAAAATAACCCCATAATAGTGCTCACACAAGTAACCTCAACTACTCAGGAAGTAGAGAGTGGAAGATTTTGCAATTTTAGGCCAGTCTGAGCAAAAGGCTTTCACGACATCTATCTAGGTGCCTGCAATGGCGGCTTCTTGGTAGGCACAGGTAGGGGGATTCTGATCCAGGACCCAGTCACCAGCAGCACCTAGCTCAAAACGACTGCTTTTATGCCACAGCCCTTTACTGGGTGTGTGAGCAGATTGCCCATGTCTGGCATACACTACTGGGAATGCACATCCAAGGATGGGCTCACACTGCCACCTCCTTGAAACTCTTGCCCCTTCTTTCCTTCCTCCCACCCTCCCTCCTCCCTCTCCCTCTCTCTCTCCCCTCCTTTCTTCCCCTCCTTCCTTCCCCTCCTTCCTTCCTTCCTTCCCTCCCTCCCTCCCTCCCTCCCTCCCTCCTTCTTTCCTTCCTTCCCATCTTTTTGTGCCAGACCTAAGGCTGGGCACTGTCCTTGAGCTTTTTTTGCTCAAGGTTAGCACTCTACCACTTGAGCCACAGCTCCATTTCCAGCTTTGTTGGTTGTAATTGGAGATAAGAGTCTCATAAATTTTTCCGTCCCATTCTAGCTTTGAATTGTGATCCTTAGATCTCAGCCTCCTGAATAGCTAGGATTACAAGCATGAGTTACCAGTGCCAGCCTAGCCTGAGTTTCTTGAGGATGAGAAATGTAGAGCATCCTCAGTTGCATATTTGACTCCTTCCATGCTTCCCTAATATTTGTATTCTACAATACTATAGGTTAAAACACATTTAGCAGTTCAGCTCAGTCATACCCAGCCAGTTCTGGCACATTTAACATGCACCAAGGATTGTACTGACTCCATACAATAAGTACTATGCAGAGTGTCATCATTTTGGTATATAAAGAGATTAGACAACTTGCCCAAGATCACACAAGTACGAACTTCACCTTACTCTATGTCCCCCTTAAAACTTGGGAATCTAGGGGAAAAGACTTCTTCACCAAGTGATTTCAAGCCTGAGCTCGGTGCCAAGATTAAGATAGTATGAACTCATCTTTTTCTCCTTGGTTGGGTTGATTGTGTGTCTTCTATTTTTTTTCCCTCAGTGCCAGATGTTGTATGTGATGTTTCAGATGTCACAAAGGAAAAATGAATGAAACGTTGAAGGACTACCAAGAAGAGCGCACTCATCAGGATCACTGAAAGATACATCCTTGGAGAAGTGACGAGTCATCTTTGTTGTCTGTATTGAGTTGCCTGTGCCTAATCTCTGTTAAACCAAATCCAATATTCAGTCTTGTGTGCCCAGGTAAGAATTGTTGATTAAACTTTTGCTGTTTGGGACTCACAATTTTTTTTAATCATCTGGAAAATTAGTGTTTTGTTTTGATCCGGAAATAGGAAATAATAGTTGGGTCTCAGGGGCTTTTCTATTTATTTGGAAAGCACATTTTAGAATTCAAACAAAAATGTCTTGTGTGAACTGAGAAAGCTGCAGTATTTAGAGCAGTAACCTGCTAAGTCCTGGGGGTGGGGGGGAAGCATGGTCAGCATGATTCTCTCTTTTCCACCAATCTGTTTTAATTGTTTGTTCATTTTTTTTCATGTTAGACTTTTAATTTACATTATTTCCCTCCCCCTTAAAATCTAGGAAAAAGAGAATATTATATAAAATTTCTATGACAAATTAAGGAGGCCAATTTCTTTAAACTACCCACCTTTGGCTGTTTTTTTTTTATGGTATAGGGGTTTTAATTTGCTAGGCAAAGCTCTACCATTAACACCCCCTCCCCATCAGCCTACCCTCCTTTTGTCTTTTTTTTGGGAGGGTCGGTCGTGGGGCTTGAACTCTGGGCTTGGGCACTGTCCCTCAGCTCTCTAGCTCAAGGCGAGCGCTCTACTTCTTGAGCCACAAGGTCACTTCTGGTTTTCTAGTGGATAATTGGAGAAAAAAGTCTCATGGACTTTCCTACCGGGGCTGGCTTTGAACTGCAATCCTCAGATCTCAGCCTCCTGAGTAGCTAGGATTACAGGTGTGAGCCACCAGCGCCCAGCCCTTTTGTCTTTTTAGCTAACTTTTTTTTTAAGACAATATTTTTCTGTGTAACCCAGGCTGACCAGAAACTCAAACTCCCCCTACCCCAGCCTCCCTTGTGCTGGGATTATAGGTGTATACCTCCACACCCAGTTTCTAGCAGCTGTTAATAAACGTAGATCAGGAACCTTTCTCCACTCTTTTTCTGAAAGAACTACTTTAAGAAAATAGGTTCTAGAGGAAGGACTGCCAAAACTAGCTTTTAAATTAGTTTATTTTATGAAATGTTTCCCTAGTTTGAGTCAGCAGGAAGAGGAAGAAGGGCTAGAGGCATATATCATATTTGCTTTTGTGAGTATAGTTGTCCATTTTTATTAGAAGCCACTTTCTCATCTGCTAATTCTACTGTTCAAACGACTTGAATTTTGACTTTTAATTTCTCAAGGAATTAACTTTTGAGGAGTCATATGGGAGACAGAATCACAAATCCAGATATTTTGCTTTTGAAGTATGTAATAGTGTGAATGATTTTATGATGTATTGCATTTTGGATTCTCTTGTCATTAAAAATCATAAACAAAGAATTTCTGCTTGTCTTGCTTCCGTTTATAATTACTTGTTAGGGTGAGTTGTAGCTCAAATGGTAGAGCTCTTCCAAAGCAAGTTCAAGGCTCTGACTATAAATCCTAGTAATGAAAAAGAAAGAAATGAAATTTTATATTCATATATACACATGCATATATATTTGTGTAGTTATATATATATACATGCACATATACATATATACATGCATATACACATATATGAATATTAATTGGAGTTAAGAGTGTCACAATTTCTTGGCCAGGCTGGCTTCAAACTTTGATACTCAGGTCCTAGCCTCCTGAGTAGCTGGGATTACAGGTATGAGTTACCAGCACCAGGATTCTCACCCCATTTTTAATTATTTAAGGAATACTTTCTTTCTAAGGCCACTAAGGCTCATGGAAAAAAAAAAAACAAGTATCAGAGCCAAATTTCAAAGTCTGGTCTGTCTGGTTTCTAAATGGTTGAGATGCGACTGTTTTTTGTATCACCTGTTTATCATGGTGAGGTTTATTGTGGTACATCCTATGAAGACTGAGTGTTTGAAAAACCTGAACTTAGTATTTGCAGACAGAGAGAGACGGAGCAACTAAGGTCTCTTGATAGTCATTAGAAGGACATTAGTCACTTCTTGTTTAGATCCACAAGAGGTGCTTTCTGTTCCTATTTCCGGGCATTGGAATTAGATGTGTTTGTACGTAGCATTTTAAGGAAGTTCTCCTTCCCCCTCCCTTCACAATAAACCTCCCTGTACTTTTCCTCCAGGAACTGGGATTTTGAATGGAAATAAATATCATACCTGTTTTAGTGGGACGGCTTCCAAGAACAGTTTTGTAAGAAGTAGATGCTGTTGCTGGAAGTGCACTGGGTGGGAACTGGTGTGGGAACTGGTCAAGAAATCTCATTTAGCATTGCCTATGAGAAGTTCAGCCCAGGCTTGTGATGGCATCCTGTGTTCATTGGGTCCTGACAACCAAACTGGTATTTACTGAGCACTTACTATGTACACAGTGCAGTACTGGATCCTATGGGAAAAGAGGAGTCATTCTTTTATTAGCTTTCCTTTTATTAGCTTTCCTTTGATTAGGTTTCCTTTTATTAATAAAGGGCAATCAGATGTTTCATGTGTGACTACTGAATTAGTGACAACTCCCGATTTGTGACTGTTAGCCAAAGTGGGGTTTGATAGGATGGTGGGACTCCTCACCCCCAATCTTCTGCCAGGTGTCCAGATCCTCCAAACCCAAATTGAGAACAATAAACACCTCTGTGGATGTGTAGCACTGTTTCGTCATTAATACTGTGAAATCATGGTATTGATTTAAATGAGATTTAATTACTTTACTCAATTTAATTTATCATCAAGTCTCACATTACTTAATATAAGGCAATACCTTGTTATTTGTTTAGATTCTGGGAGGTAAGAAACAATGGGGTCTTGGGACTGAGGCCAAGAATTTCCCAAGTTTGGAGGCAGTGAGTAAGTGTAGAAAGGATTGTGAAGGAGAAGAAAATGTTCTCTGGAAATATCTTCAGGACTATTTACACTATTAGACCTGTTGTTTTGTTTTTGTTTGTTTTTGTGCCAATCCTGGGGCTTGAACTCAGGGCCTGGGCACTGTCCCTGAGCTTCTTCAGCTCAAGGCTACCATTCTACTACTTGAGCCACAGCACCACTTCTGGCTTTTTCTGAGTAGTTTATTGGTTGTGAGAGTCTCATAGACTTTCCTGCCCTGGCTGGCTTTGAACTATGATCCTCAGATCCCAGCCTCCTGAATTACCCACCCGTGTTTGGCTAGATCTGGTGTTTTATAGACACCTACTGTTGACAGTAGAGGTTTGGAGTTAGAAAGCTGAGCACGAATCTGATGATCTTGTACAGGATCATTTGAAAGTGGGTAGAGACTGATGGCATGCAGGTTCTGAGAAAGCCATTAAAGAAATCTGGAAATGAAGTTCTGTAAGAAAGCCTGAATTGGTGGTAGAACTGTGTCCTAGAAAATGGCTGGTTAAACCTAGGGGGTGGGAACAAATTATGAGACAACTTATTTGAATGGAGAAATGTTGCAGAAGAGTAAACACAGATAACTGGGAAATGTCTTTTGGATTTCATAAACAGGTGATTGGCTACCTTGGGGTTTGGGAATTGCTGGGGGGACGGTTAGACTGCATGGGGTTAAGGTGTTCCTGTGTGGGAGGAAATGGAGGTGAGTGCTTTTTTGTTTTGTTTTGTTTTTTGAGGTAGTGCTTTTTAAGCTGCTCCAAAAATGGATCAAGGAGGGGGGAATGGGGAAGTTGGGGAGGTGGGGAGGGAAGGGATGGTAGGGGAAAAACAAAGGAGCAGGTAACCATGCTTGATAGGAAATATACTCATTACCTTAGTCATGTAACTGTAACCCCTCTGTATACTATTTCTACAATAGAAACAACAACAAAAATGTATCAAGGAAAAAAGAGAGTTAGCTTCCAGTTTTTATTCAGGTACCTTTCTGTCTCTAGATTTGTTTTTTTTTTGTTTTTTTTGGGGTCTGGTCATGGGGCCTGAACTCTGGGCCTGGGCGCTGTCCCTCAGCTCTTCAGCTCAAGGCTAGCGCTCTACCACTTGAGCCACAGCGGCACTTCCGGCTTTTTTTCTTTTTGCTTATGTGGTGCTGGGGAATCGAACCCAGGGCCTCATGCATGCAAGGTGAGCGCTCTACCACTGAGCCACCTTCCCAGCCCAGGACTGGGTTTTGAATGACGAATTTAAAGTCCATTTGAAGGGGGATGGATATGATGATATCAAACCACTCACAAAGGAGATGAGGACAGGCCATTAATGGGTGAAGGGACAAAGCAGACACATTTTAATCTTTGCTAGACTGAGGGAACAAGGAGGGAGCATTTGAAGGACTAAATTTGCTTGTAGAAGATTAGTTTGTAACTGTGAAATAGTCCATAGCCAAGGCCATAAACCTGTTCATTATTCCCATAGGTTAGTTAGTTTCCTCTCCCTCCTCCTTCCCTCCCTCCCTCCACCTATCTTCCTTCTTTATCTCAACTTTCCCTTCCCTTCTTTTTCCTTCTCTTCCTTCCTCCCTTCCTCCATCTCTCCCTCCTTTTCTTCCTTTTATCTTTAGCTATATAAGAATACTTAATAGGAGAGTGCCCTCTTAGCAAATTTTTAAACTATAGCATTGTATTGCAGTTAGATCTCTATAAAGATTCTTCCTTGTCCTTAAATTTTTGGGCTACTCCAAACTTGAATTAGAATTAATACTGAGCCTTACTCTTTCTACCTTACAAATACTGATAAGGAATAGACACACTGCAGCCAAAATGGAGGCACTACCTATTTGTTACATGAGCTTAGGGGAGTCAGTTGATGTTGATCACGGGGCTTGAACTCTGGGCTTGGGCACTGTCCCTAAGCTCCACAGCTCAAGTTGAACACTCTACCACTTGAGCCACAACACCACTTCTGGTTTTCTGGTGGTTTATTAGAGATGAGAGTCTCACAGACTTTCTTGCCCGGGCTGGCTTTGAGCTGTGATCCTCAGATCTCAGCCTCCTTAGTAGTTAGTATTACAGGCCTGAGCCACTGGCACGTGGCAAGTCAGTTAACTTTTTATGCCAGTTTTGGAGAATAACATTAGTGCCCTCCCAGTGATGGCATGGTGATATGAAATGAGTTAAGATTAGTTCTTGCTGTTAGGTTTTTAAAAAGAGGTTGCCGAGTAAGAACAGCGGGGTAGATTTATTCATTGTTCTGGCTGGCACCAGGCCATGTTGGCCTTCCACACTGCTGGAAAAGGCCTGGGAAAGACCTGGGAAAGAGAGCATCTGGGCCTGGGCTAGGCCTT